TATATATATATATATATATATATATATATATATATATATATATGAGAAGGGAGTGGTAGGCAATCTAGGAGCCAGGTATCAGAGTCCACAGAGTCCAACGTTCGACACTCGGGCAACCGGTTGAACCGGGCGCTCGCCAATAAAAAATCCACAAGATCTTCTGAGACAAAAACGTAATCGTCGACTACTGAAGCCTGATTCTTAAAGTCAACGCCTCTTTTTAAATTACAATTTGTTTTTCAGAGAAGTTATTATTCTCTGTTATTTTAATATTCCTGTTAGAGTTGTAGCCAGGCTAATAAAATAGCAATGGTATGACCCCATTTGGATATTTAATTTGAGGCTGGTTTACAGCTAAGCCTCAAGCCACCACGAGGATAGATATATCTCTTGGTATAATAATATGTAGTGATGGTTGCTGTGCCAGTGGGTTGATGTTGCACATAAAACAGCTAAATGTCATGAAATAATATCGAGTATCGATCGCAGACTATCCTCAATACAGAAGATTGTTGTGGATGGAAGGGCAAACAGGAATTTGTGGTTATATATTGTGTGTGTGTGTGTGTGTGTGTGTGTGTGTGTGTGTGTGTGTGTGTGTTTGTTGAAGCGAATTAGTAGAATGGTGGTGTGTACCTGTAGAGCGAAAAATGAGGCCACAGTCTCTAGCTTTCCGTATCTCTGCACGTGCAATAGGCATCACGATATACGACAAATGTTATTCTCTACAGGATCCATCGAGGATTATCCGCTATTCACTTGTGTTGTAGATGAGATTTAGTAGAGCCAAGTTATTTATAACTTGTGAAAGTACTTAAATGTAATTCTAGTTACTTTAAATGAAAGTGAATTCATCTTATATTAATATTGATCTGGTGTATCAATAGGATTTATTTATATCAGCCAAGTTAGGCTTCGCCAATCATTTTCTCTTTGACACCTGCCATAAAAAGGAACACACTTTAAATACTAATAGAAACTAAAACTAACAGTCTGTTCTTGTGAAAGTGTCGCAACGTAATATTGTCACAGAACTATGCGCATCTAACACAACAGACTGAACCAATCCAATGAAAGTAAGACTTGTAGCATACAGCGGACTAGAAAAGTCACAAGTGAAACCGATTCTCAATCATATTTCATTATAACAATCTTTTTACAATTGGTATCTCAAAAAAAAAAAGTTATAAAATAACATTGTTTACAGTAAAACGAGTAGTTGCAAATCTCAAAGAAAAAAGAGGCGTTATTTGATAGGTTAAGATTATTTCCCGCAAACCGAGGAGTATATAGTTACACAATAAGCTCATAACTGCCGACATTGTGTGTTTGAATTCTCGTCTGGTCCTTCTTAAGTTGTTATAATTATTAAATTTCATAACACAAACACAACAATCGTAAGTTACACAGTTACTTACTTACTATATTTAGCAATTATTGTAACTGGCTTTTATTTACTCGAGGTTTTTTTTTTTCGGCTCAGCATAGCCTCGATACATATTCTACACAACACATAACGTACAACTGTAAACAGTTATCTTGCGCAAACACAGTATAATTCTTATATCTAGTCAGCAACGTTTTATTACACTTAATATTCAGGATTGGATCAATAAATCAAACAAAAGACAAATCATTTATCACAATAATTAAATTTTTATTTGATCAAACGATAATTAAAATAGAAATAATATTAATCGTAAGTTACCAACAATTCATTTATCATTACGCAACAGCTCATTGTAACAAAATAATTATCTGACAGTGAATAACTTTTCAATTGTTCTCCCGACAAAATTCTACGGTCTATGTGAAAAGATAAATGTTCTACGCTGAATTATAATTTATAAACACATGTTTTAAAGATAGTTACTAAACTTTCAAGGCCTTAGTCTCTAATTGTCTTGAATTTCTGCTTTAAGCCGTTTACTTAAATCCAACGCATCATTTCCTTCGGAATCGCTTCTCCGTTTAACGCAACATGGCAGCTTTTTCAAATCATTTTTCACAAACCAATCGGCCATTTGTCTTACATTTTCTATCGCACAAACATGGCTGCTCTTATCTTCATGATAAGGACACTGAGTTTCTCGGGGAAACTGGTGATTGTAACCGTACTCGTACAGAGGCGTTATTTCGCAATTTGGGTGCAGGTGTCTGAACTCCGATTCCAACAGGTACTTGACTTTGGGGTCTTTTACGTAAATATGCGTTGCATTTTCCAGACGGTCTTTAAGTCGCTTCAATTGGGTGTCGAAATCGAGGCTCCCTGACTCCCAGGGTATTCCGAAATCTTGTGACTCTATAAAATAGCTCAGCTTATACTGTTCCGGCAATTCATTCCAGTTAAACGGTGATTTAAAGACTCCGCTGTCGTAAGCCGGTGTGTTAAATCCGGTGCGAACTATGTTTATTACTCCGAATTCTTTTATTGTAAATTTATTGTCGGGAATAAAATACCCGTTGAAGTCTAAAATAACGTCCATATTTAACAGTGCTTTTATCTTCTAATAAATGTTGCCATAAGTTTAAAAAAAATATTTTACATTCAATTGTTCAAAGATAATAACTCACAACATTCCCAATTACAAAGTTTATTCAATTCTGACTGTTTTTTCTTCATGAAACCATTTGTACATTGCTTTAGCACAATCATAAGCGCAAACATTGTCTTGGGGATTCTGGTGGTACACACAATTAGTCCCTCGAAGTTTACTCTGGCTATAATTGTAAATATCCAAAGGAACAACGCGACTTGCATAAAAATTGCCAATTATTTTCAGTAGGTTCACTTTGTCGTCAAAAGTAGCGACGTGGATATACTTTGCATCCTTTAGATATCTTTCTAGAATATCTTTTTGGGTCTTGAAGTCAAATATTCCAACGTCCCAGAGGATTCCGTGCTGGGCTTTTGATTGGCGGAACGATTTTTGGCACGCTGGCGTCAATTTTTCCCAATTACATGGCGGGTTAAATACACCAATTACACCTAATTGCTCCAGTGGCGAAGTTATAACGCCAAACTCTTTGATAACAAACTCTGTGTTTAATCGCGTGTAACCGAAGAAACTTATGAAAACACGCTTTGGTTCGCGGTGATTTGATTCGTTCATTGTTATCAATTGTGAATCATATGGTCGGATATAGAACGGTTCTCTTCTAATAAAAAGAGAAAAAATAATTAACATTGTCCATTGTCAATTTGTCAAATTTATTTACAGATATTATTTGCTAAATGTCAATCGATTTTTTGCTCAAAGTAATTTTTATGCTTTATAACTTGTGATACAGAATTAATTCTAACGAAAAAAATGGTTTCAATTGCATAATGTCATTAAATTTAATTGTTTTTCAAGCAATAGTATAAGAAATAACTTTAGCGAAGCTGTTAAATTGATTTTCTAAGCTCTTTTGCGACTCCTTTCGAATGAAACAATCTTCGTCGCACATACCACTTGTAAATGTGTTTAACAATATCATAATTGCAAGGATACTTGTCATCTGCATGATTTGAGCAAGTATTAGCCGGAATTTCTTCTTCTCTATACCCGATCATAGTTACAGGCAAAATACGATCTTTGTAAGAATCACCAATAACTTTTAATAGATTTACTTTGTCGTCAAATGTACTGACGTAAATTATAAACGCATTTTCAAGATATTTTTTTATTATATTCTTTTGTAACCTAGGATCATATTCACCAATACCCCAAGGAATACCATATTTCATCTCCATTTCAATGTACGAAATTTGGGCTTCATTCGTTAATTTTTCCCAATCGGACGGTGGCTTAAACAAACCAGTCTTAACTGATGGCTTTTTTTTCATGACAATTATACCAAATTCTTTCATGATATACTCATCTTCTGACGGTTTAAAACCACAGAAGCTTATAAAGACGCGTTTTCGTCCCCCGAATATATTTTGGAGGATTTGCATTTTTCGTAACTTTTTCAAGTAGCGATCCATTATTGTTGCGTAAATTAGATTAGATTAAATCAAAAATATGTTATAAATCAAAGAAAACTCTCTTCTAATAAATAGTGAAAAAAAATGAAAATTTTTTGCAATAACATCGTTTGCAAAATTAAATTAATCAATATCATTCTACAAAATTGAACCAATATTAATGTTAATCTGAGTATCTGCGAGTTTTGTGCCATTGGTATAATCTCTTAGCATCTTCTAATGCACAAACATAATTCAAAGACATATGATACTGGCAATTAGTTCCCCGAACTTCACGTTGACGATAACCAATCTGACTTAGAGGATAAATAAGGTCTCTAACCTTCGCCAACTACTTCTAAAAGGTTTTCTTTATCAAGGGGAGTAGCGACATAGATAATGGAGAGAAATGAGACATTTTCTAACTTATTACATTAGATCAAAGTATTCATAGGGAATTAATAAACTCTTCTAATAAATATCACAAGAATTTAAACCTATAAATGTTAGTCGTGCATGTTTTTACAAAAAGTAACATAAGACTCACCATTTTCAAGGTTTCCTCGGGTCTGAGCAGGTAAAACATGGACTGTAGATGCTGTTGGATATCGCATCCTGCTGAGGATACCCGTCGAGATGGTCTGGCCCGTTCATTTGGCGGCAGGACCAACGCAGCGCCTTTCCCCGCGAAATAACACTCGCTCAAACTGAAACATAAAGAAGAAAATGGTGAATTAGTTATAAATCTATTTGTAAATCCTCGTACCAGTTGGTACAGCACATTGCAAACCTTATCAAATCAATCAACCAGAGTTTTCATTAAAACGCACGCTCCACGTGCTAAGCCACTAAGATAAGCCACGATTGTTAAAACGTTATCGGTTATCGCAATGTTTGTGAGTACAGTAGATGGATTTATTAATAAATGTCACGAAAGAGGCAAACTAAACCAAGACAATAAGCGGTATCGATCTAAGTGTCCCCTTACTAGCCGGCTGCTCGCTTAAACTTAGATTATGCATTCGCACGAACGGAATCTAAGTTACGGCTGTTGGACTTTTGAATAAAGTCGGGTCTTAAGGTGTATTAACTGCTCTTTAGTGGATGCTACACCTATCCTTTCGCCTTGACGAGCAATCGCTAATGCGATTGTGCAATCCCTCAGTGGACCCGATACCCAGACAACAGAGAACAGACAATCTCTTGCGATCGCCATCAGCCATGAATAACTTTTATAAAAATAACAGTGGACAAAGACATAAAGAACAACCAGACTTATCGATCCTTACTCTAACTACCCTTTCCCTTTACAACACCCTCGATTCTCGGTTACGTTTTTCTACACCCTAAACGTTGTCTCTTGATCCAATAGATCTCTGTCGGAATAACCGAACCCGGTCTGTAATTAATGGCTTGCAATTCCGATGTGTTTGTTTTGCTTCAGGATAACGTTTCACCTTAAGGAAATTACAAAAATCTGAATTTCGGTGATTTAGCGCTTTAATTTTTAGTAGATTTCATAAAAATCTAACTATTGCAGCCGTCCTTATGGTGCAACTTTTAAATTTTCTGACTCAGAATGTATTTATACGATATAACGCGGCTTGTCAGCACAATAGCGTTTTCAATTTATAACCTATTCTTCTCAAACTCAACATGCTTTATCTATCAATAAAAACCAAGGTTAAGTTCAAAGATGAGCTTTATCGGGCGAGTAATTTGGAAATGGCAGAATTTTTAATTTTGAAAATCGTAAAAATTGATGTTTTCACCACTTTAACTTGGTATAATTACTGAACTAGACAAGATATTAAAATTCGGTCAGTTGCATCGTAAAGCTCTTTTAATAAGCTTCAATTTTCACTCTTCAGAAGTGGCAATAGCCTCAATATTACTCCTTTTAAAGTTCATTTAATGAAACAGTTTTACTGTAGCAGGTGTTTTAGAATTATTGGCTGTATCACAGCATAGACATGATGTAGATTCAATAATCACAATATTGATCAGTCTTTCGTGATTCTAAATATTGTTTTTTTTTAATTAAAATTTTATCCGGTTTAAAAATTCTAATTAACTTGCTAATTGTTGCTTCTAAACAGTTAAAATTTTATTAAAAATAAATTTTCTTATTTTAAGAAATCTACATCTATTTCGGCTGCCTAATAGCCATTTTATAAATTGGCAATTATAATTCAATTGCGGAATCCAAAAACTGCAGTTACAAAACTTAAGAACCTTTTAACAATATTTTTCAGTGGTTCTATTGATTTCTAGATGAATATAGCAGAATTTAGGAACACACGAGATCATAAAAGGCATATAATAGTTGTGATGTTATGGCTTCTGTATCCAAGCAACCATGTCCGGTTATTTCTCAGGCACGGACTGGCATACTGGTGTGTGTTGGGACTCGTTTCTTATACCCTTACTTATAAAAGTATAATAAAAAAAATTGTCCAGGTTAACATACGTCTATACAGGTATATACCAAACAAGTTTAAAAGGTATCTCGAGCTGTGAATTTAAAAGGTAAAAAATGTTAAAATTACATCCCGAATTCTTGATCACATATTTGTTAGATTTAAAAAAGAAATTAACTAATGAAGAGGTGGATTTAAAAATACAAAATATTAACAGGCATTCTCTTGAAAATTAGCGAACTATTCTCAAGGAAAATTGAGCTCAAGGTCTCCACTTCATCTCTCTAATCTCGCTGCCCCTCGTCTCTTTCTCCGTAAGTGTGTGAGTGTGTGTATTGTGTATTGTGCGTCTTTTATGAATATAACAGAGATAGAGGTAGAGGTAGAGAGGAACAAAGGAAACAAGGCTACGACCTTCCCTTAGTCGATACTGAGACTGAGACAGTGTTACAGACACGTGACTAAGGGATCAGAATAGTTTTTTAAATTAGGGTACAATCCGGAGGGATTCAAGCCTGCTTTAAATTCAAAAGATCTGTCTTTTTTAGATAAAAAGAAAAACGTTTGTCCGAAATTATCACGAGGCCTAGATAAGTTAAGCACAAACAGGGAGATTGTAGAGTCAAATGTAATGATGGAAGTTTAATCAAAGATCCAAAACGGATACGCTTTATATTAGACTGCTGCTGGGTTTACCCAACCGTAGAAGGTCGTAGCGAAAGTAGTTTGTGATTTCAGAATATAACCAATACCAATATCCTTTTTTACAATAATTCACTTTTTATGATTATTTTTTTTTTTTTTTCACTTTTCTGGTTGTTATTTCCGAGCGCTTTCATGCCTAAATTATGACTAAATTCTGAAAAAAAAAATAGGATATCTGATCGTAAAGATCTAATCGGAATTAGTTTTTCGATGAAAGTCTATTTTATAGTGTCTTATTTAGAAAATGATGATTTATTTTAGAAAATTACAGATTTTATCGAAACTAATCAAATGTAACCTGTGGTTCCATTAAAATTCTTCGTGCGCGTTCAAAACATTGCGGTTTTACTTTAAATTCTACGGGAGTATTATTTTAGGTTACAAATGGTATAAAAACACAAATTGTTGACATATTTTGAAGATTTAGAAGCGTATTGCTCAAGATTTTGATGTTGGGTCACAAATTATAGGACGGAAACACTATTTTTATCAATTTTAGCTAACAAAACTTTGAATTTTAGAAAAAAATCACTTAGAATATGGAAAAAGTCCAATTTTTGCTAAAAATTGCCATAATTTAAAGATTTAGAATCATGTTGTTCAATATTTTGATGTTTTGTCACATATTACAGCATAAAAACACTTTTTTTTTTTATCAATTTTAGCTAACAAAACTTTGAATTTTAGAAAAAAATCACTTAGAATATGGAAAAAGTCCTATTTTTGCTAAAAATTGCCATAATTTAAAGATTTAGAATCATGCTGTTCAAGATTTTGATGTTTTGTCACATATAACAGCATAAAAACACTTTTTTATCAATTTTAGCCAACAAAACTTTGAATTATATAAAAAAATCACTCATAGGATGGAAAAAATCTAATTTTTGCTAAAAAACTACCATAATTTGCAAAAAGAGACCTATAACCACTAAAAAACTTGATTTTTATGAAAAAAAAAAGCATCGAAATATTCAATTTTCGCTATAAACTACCATAATTTCCACAATTCCATACTTGGAACAGAACTAACTGCAAAAAAAGTTGATTTTTGAGAAAAAAAAAACACTATAAATTGATCAAATGAAGCCTTGATGATGAAAAAAACACAGATGTACCCAAACTGAAGAATCCGGGTGGATAAATTAGCATAAAAAGGGCTGCCAACAGATTCTAAACCCTTGCTCATGTAAAATATGCAAATAAAAGAGAATAATATTGGTAACCCTGACATTTGCATACATAAATTTCTTAATTGGCGTTTTAATAAACTGTTAGCATAAAAAGTGATATAATTGGTGTTTCACAAGATAATTGCATAAAAATAATAATAAAAGGTTACCTAATGTACTGAATGTATCCATGTCGGGCATGTTCGAAAAGGAATCCGGGATTCCTCATTTTTTGGAACACCATTTATCACCGATTGGAGTTAGCACTTATCGGAACTGTTAGGAACCACAAGGAGGTTCTTTTTAATAGGAGCCATTTTTTGCGCATATCTACGGGTGTAACATCACCGGCTTAACGGGATGATTTATTATTGTAATTCTAATCTATTGAAGAGAACATTGGACACTTACTGAAGCAACACTTCACTTTTTAACCGGCTAAATCACAGGATTTATGATCACATTGATCACATTGATCTAGATGTCTGATTTACGAACTTCACTGGTTGAAAATGAAATAAATACGGTAATTGGTGATTTAAAAAACGAAACGCGTGTGTACAAAGCGAGCGTTGCGAGGCGACTGATGACGAAGGGAAAAGGCTAAAGACGAAGAACTGGTATACCCAGATCTAAAGTTGTATTGCGCGCAAATGGGGGGAGAAGTTTAAGCCAACCAGTCTGTAAGACACTAACGTATGTATGTATATATATATAGATTGGTGTTATTGTGTGCTTGTGTGTGGATTTTAATATACAGAACAGTTCTCCGTTTGGTTTATAAAGAAGAGGTTGTAGAACACGAGGTACTAAGATAATTATTGACCTGGTCACTGGTATTGTCACTGCTATTGCTATTGTAATTGTTATTGTTATTTTTATTGGGGTTATTGACCTTTAAAAGTGATGACTCCGACGAGAAATAAGAAAGAGAATGAGGAAGTGGGTGAAAGATTAAAAAGATAACGGTTTCGCTTATTTTGATCTTCTGGGCCTCTTAAACAGTCTTTTGCAAGGATTTTTATCCTTTTTTTTTTTCGTTTCATTGGAAATCATTTAAAATAAAGAATTTTGCCTTAAAAATACCCTATAAAAATTTTTAAAACTCCTAAAATATGCAAAAAACATATCCTAACTCTTAATTTTTAATAAAAATTCCTTTTAATAAATTATTCCGCAAAAAAATTAAATAATTTCATTTTTTTCCTAAAAGAAATCTACAATAAAATTTTTAAGTCTAAAAAAATGAATTTTGATGGCTTATTTATAAACTTTTTTTTTACTTTTAGAAAATTTTAAGGATTAAATCATTTTTTTGCAATACTTTCTACTTAAATTTTATTATTATAATAAAAATTAATTTTTTTTTACTGTTAATTTGCGGCATTAAATATAAAATACTT